GAAGAAGGTCCAGAAATTGCGCCTATTGGTGTAGGCTTTTGTTTTTAGAAGTTAAGTCCAGCCCATTGGAGAGTCCGTTACGATCGGCAAAGTTGACATTTTTATTATTCCCGTTGAAATTTATCTCAAACGGATAACACAAAAGGGTGGTCTGGAGGCGAGCACGCGGTGTCAAGTATCGCGAGTTCTGCTTACGGATTTTGGTTTCATCTGTAAACCATCGTCCGTGTCCCTCTCCTTGTTCTTTGTTTTAAACCCTTAAGCCCGTCGCGCGGACCTTAGAGTTGAATATTTCATTCATCTGTTTGTTTTCCGTACGCACATGGTCTAGATTTCTAGCGTTCGAGGGTCTCTTATCTTTGTTTAAAATTTTCAAATCTTTGACGTGGGTCTTAGTCCCGGAATATTTATTTATCCGTCTCAAATTTTCAAATCTTTGACGTGGGTCTTAGTCCCGGAATATTTATTGATCCGTCTCATGGTTAAAAATTTTTATCGTTCTGAAAGATTAGTCTCGCCTGCTAGATATCTTCTTGTTTATTGTTTGCATCGTGTGCAGAAAGGTTCCAGAGACCAATTTTTATATCAGTGAAAGAGTTTTTATGAAAGAAAAGGATCGTGCAGTCCACCGGACGTAACAGGGGTGTACATACACATATTCGCTTTCTCTCTCTCTCCCGCTCTCTCTCCCGCTCACCGCCTTCTCTCCCTCCCTCCCTCCCTTCCGCTCTCTCTCTCTCTCTCTCTCTCTCTCTCTCTCTTTCTCTCCCTTTCTCCCTCCTGTTTCGATGTGCCGCCGCGTTCGGCGGATGCATTCAGCTCAATTAAATCGCGGGCCCTCCTCGTTTTTGCTCTGTCCCGACCGATTGCCGCGCGATCGCCGGCCAATTAAATGGCGAACGATAACGCGACTTTTCATAACGTAAGCGGTAACGCGCGCTGCTCTCAGACCTCCATTTATATTCGATCTTTTTTGACAAAAGGATAAAGGCTAAAGCTCTCTTTTTCCAATAATGTTTTTATAAAAGCGAATATGGAAACAATGATAAAACTGAAAGCTGCATTATAAATGGGATTTGCAAACTAAGGCTAGCTTCACAAATCTATTTTTTACAGAATATTCAGTATGCGTGCATGTGCGATATATTTATATTAATCCTGATTTAAAAAATCTAAATGAAAATTGCTAATTGTTTTGCCAATTGGCTGATAAACAAACAAACCGTTGCTCATTTCAATTGCGTAATAATATATTTCATACATTGTTTCTCACGCGTTATATTTATTATCTTGATACTTGATTGAGATCTGCTGTACTCCCTATTGATGCCAGGTTCATTGGAGGCGAAAACGTGAACGCGTTTATCCGCGATTGGGAAAAACACGCATGCCGATTAAAAGGTGTGATTAAGTTGTTTTCGTCGTCCTCGTCGTCGTCGTCATCATCGTCGTCGTCGTCGCTCGAAAGGCTTTCCTTAATTATCAGACGGTGATTAAGCAAATCCAAAGACCCGCTGAAATTAAACTCGCGCGATCAAAGCGCTGGTCGCTGGTCGCGTATTCTCTCTTTCTCGAATCACGGAATAGAATTAAGGATGATTAAATCCCTTTTCTCTCGCTTAACCTTCTTTCCATAATCGGTAATTGGTTGATTCGTTAATCGCGCTGAGAAAAACAGTGTTACAGCGCTGATCTCTTGACTTAGTCCTTTGAAAAAAAAAAAAGAATTAAAAAGTATCAAGAAAATTTTTTTAAATTCTAAACATCCGTTTTTAAGGAAACTAGCTTTGTTTTAAAGATAAAAGAATTTTTCTTTGTAATTTCTTTATACTTCATAATTACGTTTAATACCTTTTCAATCAACGTGACGATATCTGATTGAATACCGTATTCGCGGCAGGCGAATGAAGAGGCTTTGCGAGAAAATAATTTAGTAGCAAACCATCAATCGGTACGTCTCCGTATTTTTTTTCCACGAGTCAAAGTGGCAAGGAATTTGTGAAGAGAGGAATATGAGCGAGAAGCCTTTCTCAATGAAAAGGCGAAAATGAGAGTCGGCTCCGCGAATCGGGTTCTTTATCCTCTTAGCGGAGACGGAAAAGAAGAGATCGAAAAATTCCAAGTGTCTGTAATAAGTGACTGAAGATTTCTTCGTTAGTTTAAGTTGGTGCGACAAGGATTTTCGAGAGAGAATTTTTGAAAAACGAAATTTTTCAGCGATAAAGAGATTGACAAGGAAGTCAGAAGAGAAAATTATTTTTTTGACAAGAGCTTTGTAATAAATTTATTCTCAAATGTATTTTAAAAAGTCACGCTTCTTCTAGAGATAGAAATAAGAGATAGAAAAAAGTATACATATGGATAAATACATACGACATATAAAAGTGATTCCGCAAATAGACATTAATTAAATGCTTTCGAATACTTGGAAAAGAATTTGTGTGAAATCTTTAGATAATATGCGCACATCGAATGCGCAATTATTACAATTATTAAAACAATTATTAAAACAATTCTCGACATTGCAAGAAATTTTTTCATTAAAAGATTGACGCAGAGTTAGAGTGGACACGACAAATAAATCACTAGAAGAGAATTCCGGTATATATCTCTCTATCAAATAACGTAACACGAAATTCTGGTCGCTACCACACGAACGATACAGTTATACATAACCGAGTTAATAATATAATGCACACATAAGACAACAGAGACGCGGAAAACGGGGAGGGCAAAAGAGTCGGGAAGGTGGTTCGAGAGAGGAGAAGGAAAGGGGGAGAGAATGCATCATGGAACAGGTACGCGCCGATTAGGAAGAGAGATCAAAACGATCGGCGAGGAGAGAAGGACGAGGGGGGAGGGGAGGGGGGACCACGCGAGGTCGGGGCCAACCCCCGGTGTTGATTTTAATTGAAAACGCCTCCGTGGAGAAGGTAGCGCGCGCACACGTATATGTATTACGTGCACGGGTACGTGTGTACGAGCACAGATACCGATGCAACCACCCCCGACGTCCGGAGGCAGCGCGAGAGCGCCAGCGCCCCGGCAAACGTCCCCGGGGAGCCGTGGTACAAGGGGGTAATTCAATTTGACACCCCCACCCACGCTTAAACAAGGCAGCACCCATCCGAGCGTTCTCCCTCTCCTCCTCCACCTCCTCCTCCTCCTCTTTCTCTTTCTCTCTCTCTCTCCCTCTTATTCGTTTCTCTTCCTCTTTCGCCGCCGCTACCTCTCGTACCGTGCAAATTAAATTCTCATCCACCGTGAAACAATGTCGGTACCCGACCCGAAACAACCCTCCCTTCCCCCCTCTCCTCTTATCCTCCCGTCGTCCGTCCATCGCGAGTTTTCCCGCTTCCCTCCATTCCCTTTGCTACCCGCGCTTCGACGAGCCTCGCGGATTCCGTTGGTTAGCGGTCGGACGGATCGGACTCGAATCGACCGCATTAATTACTCGCTACTTACAATTATAGCGCAGACCGAATAGAACGAACGGTCGATCGCTGCAATGATCGCGAGATACTCGTCCGACTTAGCGAAAGGTGCTCAACTGTCATCCACGTTAGGAATGACGTTCCAACACAAGCTTCAAGATCCGTTGATTATCATTTATGATGATTCATACAATTATACGTTTAATAGTGGCTCTTTTTAGCTCATGTATTAATAAAACATCTTTCAATAAAACTTTCTATATATGGAAAAAGATGAATAATAAACATTTGACTTTCACAATTGGAGATGTGGATGATGATAGAATTAAATATGGTCTCAATTACACTTCGACTTTAATTTAATGGAAATTTAATCTAATTTTAAATTTGATAATCAAGTTTAATCGTCAAGAAATTCAGATGGGACGCATATAAATTTACGAAAATAATTTTCAATTAATCTCAAGTGCACTTTAATTCGAGAAGATTTAATGATTAAAAATTAATCGTCAAGATGCACCATAAACCCGGTTATTGTCATAATCATCGAGATGCGACAAAGTTCAGGGAAATGTCGCTGCGAGATTATATGGGATTGCGTCGACGCCGGAGATTGCGCGGGCGGAATAGACGAGAGGGGAACGAGAAGTCGCGACGGCGCTCTCTCAGGATTACGTACCCGCGGGCTCGCGGATTATTTAAATGCAAACACAATGTTGTACCGGGGCGTATTGTTCCCCTCTCGGTTATTTTACAATTCAATCTGCGATCCCGGGGCTCTCTCTCTCTCTCTCTCTCCGCCGACGAAACGCGGCCGGGGAGACGACGGGAGAGACTCGCTCGCTCATTCGTTCATTGTAACATTGTTAAATCTCTGTCCTTCCATCATCGACTATCTCTCTTGTCCCTCATCAGACCTCTCTCTCAACCCCCAAAGCCCTCTCTCGCGCGCGTTCTCCTTTCGATTCAACTTCTTCATCTCGCGTTAGAAAACATCATTTTTTCTCACTCTCTCTCTCTCTCTCTATCTCTTTTTTTTC